CACTCACTTATGTGATAAACAGCAGTCGGGTAAAGTCCCATAGTCACGGGGACCCGCTGTTCAATGATGGAAACCGGTAATCCCGGGACTTCGAGTGGCGAACCACATAAGCTGCCGATAGTTTAGGCGTGGTATTGAACCGGACAACAGTGGTGGTAGTGGTGACGGGCTCGAACCTCAAACCATAGAGTCCAAACATGCCGGTGATGAGAACTTCATCTCCACTAAAATGATTATTTCCCTTTCTCGAGTCCCTTCCATCACCAGAGGATGACCGATTGAGGTGACCTTTCATCCGGTTCCTTTATCCTGGACCATTCTTTCCAGAATAACTGAAAACTAATTGTTCCGAACACATTCGTTTATCAAACGTTCACCGAATACGAATATCTGTTTATGCAGATACAAGTCTATTTCGGATCGATCTGTTTCCTGTCGGTCCCGGTTCAATAAGTGACTTGTTGAATACCTGATTACTTACTGTGTTACGACGACGACGATTGATTTTCTCCAGTGTCATGGTCCGAACATGCTGATGTGCGTAGTTCTAGTTGACATTGGTTTGGCTGCTTTCGTATATCCTCTAGAAGTGAACGGTTTTGAAAAATCAGGAAATTCCTTCGGGTTCGTGTCTAAATGTTCGTTCGGTTTCTCGCAAATGATAGTTATTCTTCGAATAGTAAATTAAATTGGTTAGTTCTTTCACAATGGGATTGGGTTTTTCGTTCTTCCTCTCATTTTGCATTATATTCTGCGAACTTTCGTTTTGTCCATTTTTGCTCTCCAGAATTGCTTCTCATCCGTCAACCAGCTGTGCCGATTTGGCCTGTATTGTTGGACCTCCGGTAGGCAATACGGAGTGAGTTGACAACTAACTTTTTCTCACAAACCATAATTTCACATAGTGAAACTCAATGAATTCACAGTTTGTACTTAAAATAGCATGTGTTGGTGACCTAGATATGGTCAGACGCTGCCTTTTTCTGTTGTTTGAGGCCAGTACAACCGAACCGCATTCCAATGCCCCCCTCGGGAATTCTTCGGCTAGTATGGTCATCACGACGAGCCGGTGTCCAGTTTTTTATTACACATTTGTGTGGTGAACAGCAGACGGGGCGAACCCCAAAGTCACGAAGACCTGCTGCTCCGGTAACCTAAACCCCGGGACTTGGAATGGTGAACCACATAAGGCCCCGATAGATTAGGTGTGATATTGAACCGGACGACAGCAACGCTGCCTACCACCAAAGTTGGGTGGCGGTGGCGGGGCTCGAACCGTGGACCATAGGATCCAAAGCTTGCCAGTGACAGCGACCAAACCATTGCACCACCACCACCCCAGTTGGTCGGATCATGTGCCCTTCGGACGGGGTCAAATGCCCAAGGTGCCCAGTACATCTCGACACCCATTCAAGTCCGTGATCAACGTCACGACCAAGAAGGTGTGGGTGAATGTGGTTCGTACGCCTTTTCTTGGTCGGTTCGGAATCAGGGTTTTGGCCAACTTCCATTGGTGAACTATCAATGGTCCACCAACCCGGTTATAGCCTCGGATGTCGGCTTTTAGTCCCCTCGCTTTGGTGGGAAACAACTCCCCCACAAGAGGCCATCCGAGACACCTGGTCGTATGGGAGCATCTCGCGAGGCGCAAGGGAAGGGTGACCAGCCGCAAGCCTAGACACCCACCCTCGACCATACTGAGGATTTGGAGGTGGAATAATTGATAACTGAAGATATTCTGTTGAATGGCTCAATTTGACCACCAATAATGCTTGATGTGGTTTCAGTTTGTACGACCATTAACCTGTCAATTTCGTATGACTGTTTTGTTGCTATACTTTGCTTGTCGGACGCTGAAGAAGAGGAACAGTTAAAACCGAATAAACTTGGTTTGGTTACTGATTCGATATATGAGTGCTACCATAACCTTCCAATTCCTTAATCATTCAGTAGGTGGGTTGCAAGGTCCCCCGAACGGTAAGCCTAAAGTGACCTATGTAGTTGACTAAAAGCCTTGATTCCAAACTAACCAAGAAGGAGCGCGCGAACCGCACACACGCCTTCTCAGTTGTGGCAGTTATCATCGGTTCATCTAGGTGTGTGCGGTAACTTTTTACTCTGTCCAAAGGTCGCGTGATTCGACGAAGTTGATATTGGCCTTCACTTGATTGCGGTTTTCACACACAGCCATGCTGCTTGGGGGCTCAGTTTTTGGTTAGCAGAAAGCTCCGCTTGTGAACTCCCTGAGAAAATTCACCTTTCAGTATTCCACCCACTAACAGATCAGATGTTTTTTCTTTGCTATGAAAGTTTTCGTATGATGTGTTCGGTACTGTCTGGAATTAGATGCTAGTGAAATGTATGTTATACAGCCTAATCGATCTTTGCTAGCCTTTTCTGGATATCACGCTTTTTTCATGTCAGTACTGGTCTTTTGACCAGGCCCAAAATCAGCTCTGCTGTGCTTCGTAGTTTTTCATTTCACACTTCTTTGGCTCTGTCTACGATGAATTTCACTATATAATCGAGTCGCATCCTCCACCATTTTCAAATGGAAAATCATGTTTATTCATGTACGACTACAAAGTTTTTAAAATAAATTGAGGAGTAAATGGTGACAAAATAAATGGACACGTGATGTGAGATTAGTCAATTCCACAGTGATAAAAATTCAACTTATCAAAGTAAGGTCTAGGTACTGCTTCCGCAAGGGATGTGTTATGCGCAAGCAGAAACAAAACTAGAATAGGAAAGTAGCATTTTCTAAGATTTAGGATGACAGTGATATGATCAACCAATTACGTGCGTCGAGGTGCATGCACACAAGCAATTCAACTGAGAGAGAGTCTTGTAAATACCACAGCAACGGAATGAATTTTAGTAAATTGAGAAACGGGCACGTTTTCTCTCTCTCTGAGATCAGGTAAAGTGTAGGGAACAGGACAACGAAAGTGGAAAATTGTCCGACGCGAATGTTTATCCGGTGATTTGCGTAAAACATCTTCGAATTAGATCGTCTCAATTACCCCTTAGCTATTTCCTTTGTCATTTCAGTTCCAAAAGTGGTTACTCATCTGCTGCAGCTTCAACGCATTCATCCACCAGCCACCTGGTCCTTCTCCAAGCCCCCTCTCCGTCCGGTTCTGGAGACTATAGTGTCTCAGCCAGTGCCCAACTGTGTCTTCCTCCTTCGGCACAGATATTCACAAGCTATTTGAAAACTAATTTAGGCCATCTGTTCAAAACGGTTCAGTCGAACGGACGTGTGGCGATTACCTCCCAACCGAACGCGATTCGATGGTCCCCCTATCAGCAGGCTGCTCAAATAGCTGTCGCTTTTGATGCTGGAATTCTTGGTTGGGATATTCGATCGATGAAGTAAGTGTTTCAAGCGTATGTGTGCATATTGGGTCTTCTTTACTTGACTTGACTTTCTACTCAGTTAGTTACGACCTTTTTTATCATATCTCCTATTGACAAGGCTTATATGATATTTTTCCACCTTCAGATATTTATGTGGAGTACTCATTCCTTGCCAGTAAAATGGAGTAAAGAATTGGTCAACCGTAATTTATGAAATGTTCCTGTATTTCGCACCAACAATTGACTTTTCCATTTTGTAACCAGCACCGATGCACCGTCGTGCGACGGTTTTGGCTGCTTTCTTTTGGCCACCCAATTAGATGAAG